GGGAAAATATTTTTTGAAGGCTCTAGTTTAGGACATGCGTTCTATGAAATGCGTCCTATGATCGTTTAAGCGTTCTATATTTTTGGCGCGTGTATTTCTCTGGGGACGTGTGACTCACGGGGCGCGGGCCTTAAACCAAAGCCTTTAAAAAATCTAACCTTTAATTTTCTCAATATTATTGTCTTCTAAAGGTTTGGGCAACCAATTTGCACCAAAAAGATTTCCAAAAAGTGTCCAAAAAACCCAATTAATTAACAAAAAGAAAGAAAGTTGTTGTTGCTCGTTTAAAGTTTTTGTTGAATTTTTATTGTCTTCTTCTCTTTTAATATTTTCTTCTTTATTATTAATCAAATCTAAATCATTTCTTAATACTTTTGCTGCTCTACTAGTTGGTACAAAATTAAAATCACCAGCAAAAATAACTTGAATTTTGCAATTTTTTTGAACTTTTCTTATTTCTCGAATTATATCATTAATATATCGAACACACAAAACTGCTTGTAAATGTTTAACATCTTCAAATAATGGATCATAATGTAAATGAGTATTTGCTGCAAGTATTTGAACATTTGTGTCGTCAACAGAACGGAGATGGACAATCTTTAGGGAAAAATTTTTTTGTAGAATTTTAGAAAAAAATTAAACAGAAAACCTGAATTATTGAAGGCCTAGAACTAATTACTTCGTAAGATTTGGGTTTATTTTTTAAAAATTCCATAATGTCTGAATTTGATCGCTTTTTTAATAGGCCACTTAATTTAGCTGTGTAATTGCCATCCTCGTAAAGTCTATCATCTCGAATAGCAATAATTAATCCTTCGTTTACTTGATTTTCTTTACAATTAAAAATTGAAGTGTAACCCTAAAACAGGATTTTTTCTTTAAAGGTCTAAAAAGGTAACCTTGAGTTCTAAAAATGGAACCAAAAATCTTCTTTGAAGGCGAACATCAACCTCTTGGAGAAATAAAAGGTCTGCATTGTAACCTTTAAAAGTAAAAAAAAACTTCTTTAAAAATTTTATTTAAAAAACCATGTATTTCCTTAAGAAGCAAAGAATATCGATAACTATCAAATTGAAATTCTTTTGGACAATAGGAAAAATATTGATCTTTTTGCTCATTTTTAGTTAAAGAAGATTTCATGTAAAGATGGGCAAGGACTTGAAAAAAATTTTATTTTGAAAATTTTTTTATAAAATTTTTGGCTCTGGTCTAGTTTAGTAGTCCAAGGAAGTTTTTACGAGTTCAATCAAAGTTTATTAAGATTCATAAATCACCAATAGACTCATTAACTTTTAATGGACTCATAAAACTTCATTTACCTACTAAACTAGACCAGAGCCAATTTAAAAAATTAAAAAATCCTTACCGTTATAGCTCAGAATTCGATATCTAAAAATTATAAAAATTCATTTAATTTTTAAAAAATTATACTCGTTTCCCTTCAATTTTTCTCTACAAAATTTTTCCTGTCTTTCTTCAAAAATTAACAAATCATCTGTATTCTCAGTTGGTCTTTTAACACGTTCAGGGGAGATTGCCATTCTCCCAATTTCTTCTTCACCAGAAAATTCAACAACAACAGCAACATATTTATCTAAATCTTCTTCTGTTGGACAATAATAAGGGAATGTTTCTACAAAATTGTAGCCATTTATTGAAATTCCACATTGACTGGAGTCATCTTTAAAAAGATATGATCTCGTAAATTAAAAAATTAATAAAACCTTTTGAAAATCTAAGGTTTCTTGGATTTTTGTCACCAACAAACCAATGATATTTTGCAATTGGATCTTCTTTTTTCCAATCAATACTAAAAAAAGAATTTAAAGGCGTAATTAAAATATACCGTAAATGTTCTAATATAGTAGAAGCTCTGGGCGTTTTTCAATGGGTATGTTTGAATTGGCTTCTCTTCTACAAGAGCCGGGCTCCTATTAGAACATTTACGGCATATTTTAATTTTTTAAACGAGGAATAAAAAAGGAAATGGGAGTGAAAAAATGGGAAGGATTGGGACATGGAACGAAACGACGGATTCAATTGAATTTTTTTAGTTTAAAAAACCTTGGGATCAAAGGGCAACCAATAAGAGGCTCTAAAGCTATTTCGAAATTGTCTAGCCATGGAACATCTCTAACAATTATGTATTCAATATTGTCAAGTTCAATTTTTGTATAAGGTTCAGGGCCAAAGAAAGTGTCAAAATTTGTTATATTGATCGGATTCTCCTTTATCTTAAATTCTCCATTTTCTGTAATTGCTCGTATACAAGTTGACTGTCTTTTACTAAACATATCTCTAATTTTTATTTGTAAACGTCTTATAGTTCCACCAAAATCATCCAAATAAGATCTTAAAAAAATTTTCTTCAAAAAGTATCGAAAATTTTAAAATAACCTTTTCATGTAAACACGTTTTGTTGTGCCAGCATAAGTATAATCAAAAGCAATTTGAATACATTTATCTCTATAAAATAATTTTTAAAAAATAATTAAAATTCTTTTTAAACCTTTCCTTCAAGGATTCATCAAAATCCTGCCAAACAAAAAATTTTTCTTCATGAACCATTTTTTGCTACAAAAAATTCAAAACAGAAAAAATGAACGCCTAAATGTGCACAAAAAAATTATTTTAATTTTTAAAAGTTGAAGTGATGGTTTTAAATAATTGATGAGATTTTAATAAATACTTCAAAAAATAAAATCTAAAAATCAAAAAAGAAATTATTTCATGGGATTTTTTAAGGGGAGAATATTGTGACTTGTAGGGTGGGGGTTTATTTGTTATGGACAAGGCTAAAAGAATTGTCAAAAATTAGAAAATTTAAAAGCTGGATCGCGCAGCAGCCGTCGTTTCGTTCCATACACAAATTCCTTTAAATGGAATCACAAAAATAAGAAATTTAAAAAAACCTTGGCATTAAAGGACAACCAACAAGCGGATTTAAATAAATCTTTAATTTTTCTATGTATTGAGAAGGTTTCCAAAAATTACGGCGACGTTTAATTTGTTGTTGAGCGCAAAATAAAATTTTAGAAATTAACATCTTAAAGAAAAACTATAAAAAAGAAGCAAATACTAAAGAAAAAACCACGATCAAAGATCAACAAGTTGGAAGACCATTCTTGTACGAGACTCAAACGGTTAATTGGCATTTATTAGTTAGAGATTTTGAAATATTCCAATTAGACATTTAAAAATGTCATTGTGTTAAATTTTACTTTGGGTAAACTTTTCGGGTACAGTTTACCCAAAAGATACGATACCGAAATTTTTGGGGGGTATTTTTATTTTGGGTATCTCAAAGTCGTGTATTTGGCAGAATTGTGCCATCCAAGTTTTTTAACTAGCCGTAGTATCAGCTGTGTCATTATGGCCTGCGCCATAATGGTCGCGCTTTTTTGAAACACTGTGTTGATTGATTAGAAACATGAAAACATTCTTCCTTTGTTATTTTTCCATGTTAATATTTTTTATAAAAAATCTTCAACCATTTTTATAACGTTTCTTGGAATGTGAAAGAAAAATAATGGTTTTTAACCATTATAATATTTCAAATTTTTTATCGATTTTAAAACCTTAAAAAGTTTATTTTTTTATTTAAAGAAAACAATTTTATACTTAAAAACAATTTTAAAAATGGATGAAAAACATCAACAACAAAGCCCTATAATTATGGATAATTTGATTAATAATAATGGAGAAAATTCATCTTCAAAGATTTCCAGTCCTTTACTTGATACTGGGCAATCTGAAGATCCGTCGATTTGCCCTTACTGCAATAAAAAATTTCGAAAGGTTTGATATTTGAATTTTGGTTTATTAATTTTTTGGCCTTTTTCACCTTCCTCGACTCCCACAAATTTCCCTCCCAAATAAGATATCAAATATTAAAAACCAATATTACAGCCTCGAGTACTCGATTGCCTTCACTCAATGTGCGAAGACTGCATAATTGCTCAATTAGACGATGGCAGAAATAATCAACAAAAGAATTCTAAAAACATTCTAAACAGTTTTATGGAATTGGAATTAGAAGATTCTGTGGCTGGTCGACGTCCTACACCGCCAGGAGTTATTTGTTGTTCTGTTTGTAATCAGGAAACACATATTGGAAATGTATGATTTTTTAAATTTTAGAATAAGAAGATGGGGTTTTAAAGGACCCAATGTCGCCTCCTTCCCAGTCCATTTTTTGTTTAAAATGTACATAATGGTCAGTCAGTTGATCTAGGTCTCAGTCTAGTTACAGCGTTTCAAATTAGCCAAAAAGACATGGATTATAGGGGTTCAAAATGCTCAAAATTTAAAGACAAAATTCCTTTTAAAGGACCCAATGTTTGTAAGTTTAATGCTTTTGGATTTTGTCAAAATTCGAGAATATGGATTTAATGATGCTAATGATACTGGAAGAATATGTGAGGCTTGTAAAAGTGAAGAGAAGGCTGTTGCAAATTGTATACATTGCTGTAGTGATTTGTGCCCAAAATGTGTTCAAGTACATCGAGACATGAAAATGTTTGATGGACATAAGGTAAGAAAGTTGAGAGTTGAAAGAGGGGAGGGTTAGTTTAACGGGTCTTTGTAACCTTCACTTTAATGGCTAGAAACAAATCTCTGATAGTTAACTGAACGTTAAAATCGATACTCTAGTGACATGTCAAATGTCACCAAATACTTGTACTCTAGTGACATGGCGGAAATCGCCCGCTTTCGGGACTCTAATGACACTTTATTTAATTTCTTTCGGTACTCTTGTGACCTGGATCATAAATGCTGGTACTCTAATGTCCTTTATAAAAATCAGTTTGTTCGGTACTCTAGTGTCCTTATTTCAAAAATGACAAATGCTCCCGAAATATCAAAGTGTCATTTACAAAATGTCGAAACGCAAATATTTTAAATTTAGTTATTTTTTAACGAATCATTTTTTGTTTTTTTAGGGATTGATTTTCCTTTAAGGTTTAGTAATTATTGATTATTTGTTTTTGTTTTTAATGTTTATTCCTCTCTTTTTTAAGGTAGTAATGTTTTCTGAAAAAGATAAAATGAGCAATCAACAAGAAGGTTTATTAAAAGAAGGAGGAATGGATACAGTTAAATTAGCTTTGTGCAACAAACATAAGGGAGATTTTGAATTAATATGTCCAAGTTGTGATGAACTTTTGTGTAAACAATGTGCTTTTGAACATGTTGAACATAATGTTTCTCCACTTAATGATTTGGTTTTTAAGTGGTATAAACAAAGTATTCATGATTTGGCTAAACAGGCTGAGAATAAGGTGAGGGGATTTGTTTATAGTATTTGAGGACGAACTGCTTTTTTGCGGAGTTATTTTTTGGAGTCATTTTGTTTCTTCTTTCCATTTTTCTGGAAAGAAAATTTTACTCGGCCCCAGTTGCTGACGAATACTGATACCTTCTTTCAATCAGCCAGTTATTTGATAGTCTCTTAGTTCCACTGTGTTTAAGACATTTTCATTTATATGTTAATTCGTCCGCAAAACTTTTTTCCAAAACTGGTCCTTATAATAATTCTCGTTTTTTTCCTATTTTTAGGGCAGAACGACTTTAGACGCTCGCTCAGCAATTCCGGATCGTAAATTTTTACTTCAGGTTTTTTATAATTTTTTAATTTAAAAACCTGAGATTTTGTAGCAATCGTATCACAAATGCCGTGACAAAATTGAGGATGCCTTTCAATTCTATGCGCGTGTGATTGATGAAGTTAAATTGGATTTGTTGGCTTCTTTGGACAAAAATCGAGATGAGAAGGAAGAACATCTGGACTCGTTATATCAAAAGATTGATATGCAGACATCTCGATTGCAGGATGCTTTGAGGTTGTTTATTTAGGCTTGGAGGGATATCCTGGCTTGAGTTCAGTCTGAAAAATGTTTTGATATTACGGGCGATTTTGGCAATTTGATTTTGTTGAACGGAGATGAGGTGCCCCGCGGACCTCTCACCTGGATTCTCTTTCCCTGGGAATTCAATTAATTCTTTTCCCCGCACTGGAATCGAACCTTTTGTTAAAATGTGTATGTTCTTTTGATAACTCCCTTCTGGGCTTCAGAACCTCCCTCAACTATTAGCAATAAATTTTCTATTTTTAGTTATACCAATAATCTCCTTGATAAGGGTACAATTGTCGATTTATGCTTAAATCGTAAAAAGATTTGGCAACAACTTAAATTGTTAATGCATTCAATGCCTGATGTTAATGAAGAAGTTGATTTGGATTTTGATATTCTTTCACAACATGAATTTAAAAAGAAGTTTGAATCTGTCATTGGTGGAATTAAATGTTTGTTTTTTATAGTATTTAAAGTTTAAATTTGGGTTGACCCTGACTCCGTCTAATCAGACTTTTTTTTGGATAAACTCCAGTCCACGAAAGTCTCCGACACAGGTTTTAACCCTCAGCTTGAATGATTTTACCAACTGTTCTAACCCCAACATTCGTAACCTCACCCAGAACTTTTCGGCGCGAAAGGTTTTGGTCCGTCCCTAGTTTAAATAGTCGTCTAAAATCATTTTTTGTCAAGTCCGCAAATATTATCCTATACTAGAATAAAAACAATTTTTTTCAGGCCGTATTACTGGTCCACCAAAAGAACCAGCAGTAATAATGAATGCTCTTTTGGGTAATAGTCCATCAAATAAATTGGATACTTTTGACGATTTTGACAATAAACTTAAACAACAGCAACAATTAATTCTTTCTTCAGCAATTAATAATTGTCAAAGTTTAGCAAATAATTCTTCAATTGATTGGACAGATTCTTCAAATCTTTTTGCTCAACATTCAAATACTTCATCAATAATTCCAGCAACAATTCCACCAACAACAAATTCAGGTCCTGGAACTATTGGGATGGAAAGACGTCAAAATCGAAATTCTAATGGAAACAGTTATTTAAGTGGAGATTCTGGTATTTATTCTTCTGCATCTGATATGACTATTTCATCACCTATTCAACAACATCAATTGGGTGGTACTCCGGAAACTTTTA